GCCCCCTGTGGCAGCCTGTGTTGCTTGCAAAGACCAACACTGTAAATGTCACCCCGTTGTGTGACAAATAAGAGACTGAGTAAAAGAAATGTATACCATAACTTTCACTATTTATTATTATTATATTATTATTATTATTATTTATTGTTATGTAATGTATTGTAGTTTAATATATATACACTTTACAAATATATACAGTGTGTATATATAGTTCCCACTGTGCCTCCAAACAGGAGACACAGTGAGAGGAGGTTCGGCCCAAACTGTAATTCGTTTACATCAGTCTCATTACCATTGAGCCAAGCTGCACAGACTCCATGGCTAGATGCATCTGACAGGTCATTTCACAGGTTTCTGTCTTGAGTTCTCCTGGAAGCAGTGATTCCAAATTTGAAGCCTCCTGGCAGTAATGACAGATGTGAGTGAGGGTTAGACATCGCTGTACCGCAGTATTACACTGTATATTTAGACCGATATAGAGTTCTTCTGCGAACCTTTGGGATCTTTAGAGGTACTGCATTGTGAAATTTGGTTATTAGACACTTTACACTGAAATTCAGCCAGTGCAGGCCTCACCTGCTGTGCAACTGCTGAGTCGGCAACAGTTTCCTCCACTGCTGTGACGGAGTCTGTGACGGCAAAGTCATCCACCATGGTGTCGGAGGCCTGAAGAGGACAGGTGTCGAAAGATAAGTCATAAGTCATTACATGATAACGGAGTAACAACAAAAATATAGACATATTAAATTCAATTTAAAAAAGTACCTCAGGTGTGACCCCATTCACGTCAGGCACAAGAGTCGCACCTAGTGGAACTTCAGGGACACTGCACAACTGTCGAAACAGAGAAGACTGGCGTCACAACACGTTAAACATTTGATGTAGAGAGATTAATGCAAAAAGGCGGAATGTGCCAAACGGTCACGGCAAATGCAACATAAATGAGACGAGGTTTGTCTTTTGTTTTTGTTCTTTTGTTTGGTTTTGGAGGCACCTGTGTGGTTGTCAGAGGCTCAGCTGGGACTTCAGGTTCAATCTGTTCAGCCATCACTTCCACCTCAGCTTCATTCTTTTTCTCCTCTTCGACAGGAGCTGGGATGATCACGGCGTCTTCGGTCTTCTCCTGTGGTTCCTCCGCCTCCACCATCACGGTCTCCTCCTCCTTCTCCACCTCGACCGTTTCCGATGCATTTTCAGTTGTCGCAGGTTCTGCCTCTGGCGACACCTGGAGGGCGGGTTCTTCCACCACAGGTTCTTCAGTGACTTCAGTCACAGTCTTGTCTTCTGTGTGGTCAGCCTCGGAGACTGCGTCTTTAGTCTCTGGCTCACAGACATCATGCGTCTGGACATGCAGAATCAACAGGTTAACCAATCATGCATTACATGCATTAACAGAAATTCTAAAATCACACTCCAGGGGGTGCAACGCTCCAAATGTTCCTCAGTTGCTAATGAGAACTTTTACCTTTTCTGGTTCCACTGTAAGGACTGTGGCATCAACAGACTGGACCTGAAATGAGGTAAAGAAATACAGTACTTTTACTACTGGTAATTAGTACTTTATTTATTTATACAAACACTGATATGTATGTGAAGTCCAACAATTTCAGTTCCTTTGAAATGTGTCTTTAAAATTGGTTGTGTTCAGGAAGCTAGGCTAGGCTAACTCACCAGGGATATTACAACACACTGGCCAAAGGCTTTGATTCAGTGGAAATGGAATTGCACTACCAACCTTTTGGATGGAAGAACTTTATCTACATGGCTTGACTCTGATCACACAACGTAGGATTATGTAAATAATATTTTTTTAATGAAAACTTTTAAATACTAGCATTGCTATGGTAGCTAAATTAGCTAGCTAAGCATTGTTTTTTTTATTTTTATTTTGCCCATCTCGTTTAGTTGTCGTTGGAAAGCATTTTTAAAATGTGTTGTGAACGATAACAAAGAGTGACCTGTGAGGCTGAACAGTTTCCACTGTGAAAGTGTGTGTCACCTTCACTTACAGCTGCTGCGTACTCATAAAACACACACGGAAACTCTGAGCTGCTTCTGTTTTGCTGCTTACCTCACTTCCATTTATGATGTGTGTGTGTGTGTGTGTGTGTGTGTGACCTATGAGCGAATCCATCCCATGAACTAAAGTGTTAATGGAGAAGTGAATGAATCCTATTCTTCCTTTTTTTTATAAGGTTTAATTGTAAACCACAGTTGGACAATGTCTTCAGTCTGCAGCGTAAACGGTACCAGACATCATCGGTTCCATGTGAGACAAATCCTTATCACGTGATACATCTGCTAATATACAGTGAACGATCTAATGCATTCCATCAATGTTTGTTTTTTCAACCTCAGGGTCACTACCCCACGTGCGGTCGCCTAAGATTCATACAGGGTCACATGAAATGTCTAGTAATTGATATATAATAATTACTGTTAAAAGCCAAAAAAGTTTGGGAACCAGTGCATTGGATAAATACTGTCTATTTTCTATAATTATACGATCCAGATCTTTCATTGGCCAATCAGACGACTGACCACTGCTTGACTATGTCGTGTTGTTGATTTAAGGCAGGAAACAAAGTGTTCTGTACATAGACATTAACGCACGAGTGTTTGTTCTACCTGTGCCTCAGGAGGAGGTTCCACCGCCGCCTCTGCTGAGGGCGCCACCTATGAGGAAGAGACGGTGTTTCAGTAAGAGAGAGCAAACAATCAGAAACTCACAACCAAACATACAACATTCCGAACAAAGAAACACTGCAGCTACATTTTGACTTCAGTCTCTCCCAGGGGGCCGTGGTCAACTCTCAGGTGAAATTATGATTATTTTTTTGAAAACATTTTATCAAACTCTTTCTTGACATTTAACATAAAATAACCCACTTTTTCCTCTCTTATAGCTGACTTGGACTTGTACCGAGCCACACTGGCAACCAGAGGAAGCAGCACATAAATATTGTAACTCTTAATGGCCTGACATTAAATTTCCTGCTGTCAGGAAACATTTCCAGTTCGGTGAAAAAGTATCAACTGTGACATAAGAGCGTCAATGACCCGGGCCGTTACACAGAAGCTGCTCGTCCTCTCTTGCGCCACTGGGAGGCCAGGCATCGAATTCTGCAGGACTGTAGCAGCATTTGAACAAAAGCCAAAGTAAACACACTCGTATAGAGGAGAGGGGATAAATATATATAACC